GAGAGTGTAATGAGCTTGGTAGGCCAATTTAATAGATAATAATAAATTTTGTTATAACAATTTTATTAAATTTGTTGTTGTTAACCAACAGTAATAATATTAATTCCGAATCTGAGATAGAGTACCTTAATAAGTATATATTTATTTTATTTTTGTTTTTGAAAAAAGTTTTTTCAGTATGCCTAGGTGTAGTCGATGTAAAGCAGCGTTTTTCGCACCTTTGATATCTCTTGGGTGACATACTTGGGTGTTTTAAATAGACAACAGTCTAAAATTAAATTGCTAAGTTATTTAGAAACTTATTTTGTCCTGTACGCCGGAGTCGCGAAATGTGCGGCCTGTAGAGTTTTCATCTACAGGAAGTTGTTATATAATTAAATGCCACTTTATAAAAACAACGGCATTTTCTTTATTCAACGCTCCAACACCCGGAATGGTTTTCCTTTGTTATTGTTAAACAGTACAGATACAAAATGGATTGCAAAATTTCATTCTTTTCAAGTTGTTTCGGATGAACGGTTTATAAATGTTCCAAAAAATTTTTTAAAATAGTTTTCTGTACTTACTTTAAATCAATTAGGGTTATTTATTTTACCTTACCAAGACAATGATAATAAACAATTGCGTGAAAGTACATAGGTTTGCTAAACATTAGAGATTCTAGAAATCTGGTCAATTTATTTTTAGTGTTTCTAATTAATCTCCGCTACTAAACATTTCTTAAGTTTTTAACAGCGTATAAGTTATTGTCATTTAACGTGGTTTTTACTGGAGATACGTACAAGTACGTATAACATCTCTAAAATCAGGTCAACAGAAATTCTTAACTAGTAAATTCAATAATAATGGTAAAAAATTGTATAAAAAGTTGATAAGTAGTATATGCCATTTTATACAGTCTATGCTTTATGCAATAACAACCCCCTATAACGACAAGAAAATCCCAGTCTTTGGGTCTAATCTCAGAAATTTCAAATGGTCGTAAGTCGTCAGAAAGTCGTGTCCTATCCACAGGAGCAGAGCTTGTTGACGTCATGCTCACGAAAAAGAATAAGAATTCTTGATAGATTCTTAAGCTATTGATTCTGGGTTTTACATACACAAGAGTGAACAGTGATCTTGAATTTTCCGCTTAAAAAATCTAGGTCAACTCGTTTCGGCAAATGCTTCGAAAGCTTTTCAATCCAAATTAATGAACAACGGGCTTGTATGACTTTTTTATAATACAATTCTTTATTTTAGATATTTTACTCTTACTAATACTACAATAGAACTTTTGCTGTTGAAGTCATAGTTATTGGGCCGCATTTTTATCTGCGGCTCTTACACAGCGGGTTGGTTTAAAAGGTCAATGGGTTGCAGCCCTCTTCTTATTCTATTTTAATAATTTGCATTTACATCTAATTAAGGATGTTACAAAGCGAAAGTATCAAAATATTGGAGTTTTATTACATTTAATTACTAATGAATCACCTATTTTTATTAATGATTCATTATCATCATATGGCATCGTTTCTGAGTCCTTCCTGTCGTCCCAATCCAGGTATTTCCTGAAAACCTAGAACACACATCATCATCATAGGATCCTAAGATTGGTTGAATATGCACCTCCACTATATCCTATACTGAGCTAATCTTTACATTTCTCTAAAAAATTTTAATTGTAAACAGTAATTTAATCTAAACTCTACTCCTCTTAACTCCTGTCTCTGCTTCTAATATGTTTCATACTAGTCATTCGTGCCTGAGAAGGTGTGCTACCTTATTGACTTCAATTCTAATAACCTTTTCCATCCACGGTGTTATTATTAGTGATATATAAATGTAGTACCTGAGAACAACAATTTATTTCTTTATCCTTTATCTTGTTTCAGGTTGTACTGGTATTTATTCTTAGCATAGCATCGCTAATCATATACTTCATAGACGCATCTAAGTGAGTAATCTTTAGATAATCTACTATTGCTAACCAATTTTACAAGAACATATCTAACCGGTTCAAAAAAGATAAATTCCTAAACTCTTTTGTGAAGTTTAGAATTCTGGGTTTGAATCCGTTTCGTCCTTGATCACAAAGTTCG